TGCAGGTCGGGAGGTGTGGCTGCGGTGCCATTGACTTGAATGCACCACCACACACTCTTCAACCCCAGAACGCAGGGAGGCTGTAATTATGCAATCCACTGTGCTCCAGCAACAAACTGTGCTGGAACACACTGGATTTGGTGTGAACAAGCCCCTACACTCAGTTGAGAGCCTGTTCACGCTATCCAGTGCGTTCCCCACACAGTCCCATGGGTGGAACACACTGGATCATATAAACAAACGCTCCCTGCGTTCTGGGGTGGGAAGGGGTGTGGTGGTTCCATTCATGTCAATTTGGCTTGTATATGGGCGGAGCACAAGGGGGCCCCATAACCATGTATTGCCTGGGGGCCCCATGTGTTGTCAGTCCGCCCCTGCTCCAAATGACTGGTGATCTGATGACTGAAGGAGGAATAAGCAGTAGTACCAGGAGAAATTTAGACAGTGCAAATCTACAGAATGTATAAAACAAAGGCAGGGAGATACCTGCACTACAGCTTTTCTCTCCAGCAAAGAGAACAGGGAGCAGCACAGTAGAGACGTCTCCAAATCCCCTGAGACCAGCAGTCAGAGGAAGCAATGCCTTAGAATCTTTCACTAAAGATATACAGCTATATCTGAGGCTGAAGCACTGGAAGTGCACTGATAATTTTCTGGAGGAATTTCATGCAAAAAGTACATTTACCAGGGTATGCTTAGGCTCAATTACCTTTTGTAGATGTTCCCTATAACAGAAAATCTTCTCTTTTTTAAGTTCAGGTTCACTTTAATATGACTGCCATCACAGGGTTCCCACTCTGCATAAATAAGCAGCTACCTTATTGGGTGTACATTTTGCCCACGTCTGCATCAACAGCTGTACAACTAGAATAGTAGATCTCGAATAGGAAGCACTTCAACCTGAGTTACAATCCTATATACAATGTTGTGACTGGTTAATGTATATGAAAGTATGAGAACAAACATTTATCGCTAGGAACTACTACTAGTTACATTTCCTACCTGCCCTATGAAAACAACTACTGGAATGTGATGAGTTACTACGGGCACTATCCCTAGCTTCTTTCAGTATTATTCAACCTCTCTATATGCAGTAACTTTTGTATGTCATGTAATATCTGAAATTAAAGTGAGGTTTTTGGCACTTTGTTTGTTGAATGGATGTTATTCATAAGTGATCTCTATATATTGCAGGGCACACTGCCAAACTGTCTTTAGTAGTTTAATACTTGCGGTTACCAAAATGAAGAGTTGTCTTTTATTTATAATTGTGAGAGAGGTTTGAATGTTACTAATGGAATCTCAGTTTTAGAGAACCACCGTTGACACTTCAGAGTATGACACATCTGAGAGTGTTGATTTCCTGGTCCCTCACTGCAGTGACATAGGGGCAGTCGAGTGGACCACAGAGTGCATTGGGTGACTAGGAAGTCTATACTTCTGGCAGTGCCAGTTTTTTTGTTCCCCACTGCGCTCAGTGAGTTTTGAAGAGTCTTTGAGTGGTTGGTGATTTTCTCTTTCAGTAGCATGGGCATCAGGAGTATTTACGATCTTTCCAGGGAAACTTTTTTCACATTTACATTTTAGTATAGTAGTCCTTTAAAACGTTACTGACAATGCCAAGCTCTGGTATTGGTTTAAAGTTGCTTGTGCAGTTGATATCTAATTGGGAGCAATAATGTATCAAACCGCCATGTTGACAGTCTCAGCAGAGGGACATGGGTCTCAGCAGAGGGACATGGGTCTCAGCAGAGGGACATGGGTCTCAGCAGAGGGACATGGGTCTCAGCAGAGGGACATGGGCCTCAGCAGAGGGACATGGGTCTGAACAGAGAAGCATTGGAAGGGGGGATGGGATAAATGGAGACTCTTCCATCTTCCAGGTGACTTTTGAAGGAGTCTGTGTTTCATTCAAAGCAGAAAGCCATCATTGCTTATAAAGATGCTGCATAATCGCTCTGTGTTGGTATATTTTTCTAGAGACTTTATTTAAAGATAGCTGTCACAGTATAAGTAGCTGTAGAATGTTGTGTCTTCCACCCACATTGCATTAGGGAAACAATGTTCCCACATATTCTTTAAAGTGTTGGAAAATCTCTCCTAGATTCCTTTTGTCATTTCTTCTTTCTCTCAGGGATCAGAAGGCTGGGTGCACCAGTCTTCATTGTCATCCAAGGATGATAGCAGGATGGCCACCTTCTTTACTGTATTCCTTTTACAGGAATTTATCCTGAAATTGACATGTCATTTATTTTTCCATCCCTTCCGGATTACAGTCAGCTAGC